TTATTAGCACAGTGTTTATTAATAGCTTTGTTATAAGAAAAGAAAGTGTTGCAATAGAAATAACACTGGAATAGTGTTAGATTTGGAAAATCTAGACTCTGACCCACACTCTACCATATACTAGCCATTTAACTTCGGGCAAATCACTTAACCTCTCTCAACAACAAAGGCTAATTACTATGCACTCTACAAAGCCCACAGGGTTATTATTAGGATACAAAAGGGTAATATACATGAAAGTGCTTAGAATTTACAAGGAGCTGTATAAATGATATGATTTTAATGACAAACATAACTCTGATTTAATAACATTTTTTTGTTTGTGTGTGTGTTTTTTATTTACCATGGGTTTGGGTTTTTTTTTTTAACATTTTAAAATGTGAACTTGCAAAAGAAAGAAATTAAGGGGCAACTATTTATGCTCTAGAAGAATTCATCACTGAATAAAATACTGCAAGGTTTAGCAACTCAAATTCAATCTGAACCAATTAAAATATGAGTCAACCAACAAAAATGTCCTTCATATTCAATTTTTCAGCAAGATATTTATTACATAAAGCAAGGCAGATATTTGACTCTGGCCACAAAATCACAAGCTTATTCCACTGAATGCACTAAGATGGCCTTCACCTATGTAACAAAATCAGAGGCTGCAAAGTTTAAGTGGCTCCATTTTACAAGCAGATACAATGCACCATGCTCCACAGTTGAAGAGGTGAACCAGCACATGTAGGAAATACTAGAGTTGACTCCAGGTTTACAGGAAAACATGTGATTCACCAGGACACAGCACAGTCTGATATATGTAAAGAATTCCTAAATCTGTTTCACAGACCTATTGTTTATGGACATAAAGAAGTATGAAGAAGCAGAGGGGGCAGCTGCAAACAGACTGAGACTTATTTGTAGTACTGCTGACAGTCAAATAGGAGAAGTTTCCAAATTTGTTTGCATAGCCATTACCCATTATCATTTTTAAACTCCCTTAAAGTCAACAAGTATCACAGTATCCAGATAGACTAAAAAGTTCTCGGCAATTTCCCTTTGTCTTGCCAAGTCTACCCACAGACCAGCAAAGATAAGGCATTACAGACAGAGTTAGCTACCTTCCTGAAACTTTCTGACCCCTGATTTCATGTTTTTATATGCGTGAGGATTTTAATTAAGAAGTATCTGGAAGGCATACCAACTCAAAAAAGGTCCTGAGCACAAACCACCAAATGGAGAATCAAGTAAATTGGCAAATTCTCCCTTTTAAATGTTAATCGCCTTGAAAGGCTTCCATAATTAGTTATTAGCAGTTGAGCTCCATCCCAGCAAAGAAAGGGGAGTGAGGCTGAAGAGGGGAAAAGAAATAAGGAGGGCAGCAGGAGGAAGGGGACAGGTGAAGAAGAACAGACACCAGAAATGCAAAGAGAAATAAAAAAGATACCGAAGATAAAATTTGCCATCAGCTACATATAATCCACATTCCCTCACAGGAAGACTATTAATAGAGAAAATAAGATTTTGCTGCTACATATTTTAGAGTCAGTATTTTAACACAAATTTATCCAACAATGTTAAATGTAAAACAGTTATTCAAGGGAACTGGAGAAACTATAGTTTCCTGGTAAGTTCCTAGTCACTACAGACATAATATGATGAAAAAAAATGAGTCTGCTTCACACAAGTCTATCAGAAAGAGGACTGAACTAGAACGTGAACATTTGGTTCTGATCTCTGTACTAGAACTTGAACATTTAGTTCCTTCCTAGCTTTGGTTTTGACCTTCTTGACAATTAGCTTTAGGTTAGTTACCAAACTTTTATCAATGTTCTCATTCACTCAAACAATAAATATTTCTTAAATGTCTAAAAAATTCTAGAGTTTCCCAACCCTGACTGCACAGAAGAATCACCTGGGAATACTTACACACACACACACACACACACACACACACACACACCCACACCCCTCTCTTTGTCCTTAAGACTCTGATTTAATTGGTCTGGGGTGGGGCCTGGGCATAGATTAAACAACAACAACAAAAAAAAACTCCCTTGCTATCTTAAAATGCAGGCAAGGTGGAAAACCACACGTCTATTTCATCTTTTACGTACATGGTAAGGAACAGCAAACAATGTGAAGAGCCATCTCCCTTCCTTTAAATGAATCAATTTCCCCTTCTAATCCAATTTTGTTTTAACCTAGATTCTCACCACCTCACACCTAGATTAACAAATAGCTTCCTACCTATTTTCCCTTCTTCCAGTCTCTTCCCAACTCAATAAACCACTGCTGCTGCTAAGTCACTTCAGTCGTGTCCAACTCTGTGCAACTCCATAGACGGCAGCCCACCAGGCTCCCCCACCCCTGGGATTCTCCAGGCAAGAACACTGGAGTGGGTTGCCATTTCCTTCTCCAAGGCATGAAAGTGAAAAATGAAAGTGAAGTCGCTCAGTCGTGTCCGACTCTTAGCAATCCCATGGACTGCAGCCTACCAGGCTCCTCCATCCATGGGATTTTCCAGGCAAGAGTACTGGAGTGGGGTGCCATTGCAATAAACCACTGCTGTCTAACTAATCAATTTGGTACTGAAACATTATTCCACTGAGAGTCAATTTAAGTGTAACAATAACAACAAACAGAACTGTTTTCATTGAGCAGAGACTATATTGCATACACATATTTATATGTTTGTATATATACAGGTATGTACATATAATCTCAAACATGCTCTATTTTTCTTCAATTCCATTTATATATAATGGATACTAGTCTCTTTACATACAAGATTATTGCCCCTAACTAGTTGTGGTTGAATTTGGTCAAAAATGAATGGCAAATGAATCACCCATAGATTTCTAATTTAATTCTCACGTGTTCCCACAAGGAACACCCATTCAATTTTTTTTTAAAAAGTAAAATGAGGTGGAATTATCTCAAAAAGTTCTCTGTTACTGTAGACATTGATAAAATTTATGATGAATGAGTTTTACCAAAAATAAATATAGTTCTGGTTTGTGTTAAAACTTGCCTCAGAAAACAAACTGAAGCCTTAAAAGCAAATGGTTATAATCACATAAGATTACATTCATGTTTATGAAAAATAATATTAAGTACAATATAAGCAGTATATAATGAGAAAACTAAAGAAGTGTATTACTTATTCCCTGCCCTTAAGCAGCTTTCCATCTTCCCAGGGAAAGCAAAACATAAAAAAGAAAATAAAGCCAGCACTAGCATGTAAAGTGGTAAAGACATTAAGTACCACGGGAATTCAAAGAAACAGAAGACTGCCCTGGACTAAGGGAGTTGGAGACAGCATCTTAGAAAAGCTGGGGCTTGAACAAAATTAAATAGGTGGAGAAAAGGAAATCTCATGAACATGGATCTTCTACAAAGATGAGGCAGAAATTCATAAACTATGTGGAACTGGGAGCTGACCTAGTTGGAACAGAGGGTTCTATGTAGGAGCATATGCGGACTTAAGGTTGCAAGAATAAACTGGAGCCAGACAGAGAAAGGCCAGAAAGCCAACCTAGGATGCTTCAACTTTGCGCTATAGATAGATAAATCTTTTATAGCTAACAACAAGCAAAACAACAAATCCCTATAATGATGCAGTCTGAAACCATTTTTCTTGAAGCCTTTGAAGAACATACCAAGTAGTACAATGTCTTGCCAATATATCATGAATATGTGAACATACTGTTTAGGAAATCTGTTCAGAGTGAAAGAGTAAATACTCAAATATGCTTTCCAACATACAAAATCATTGATGGTTCTTAGGATAACTCCTAAGAGAATAACTGGATAGAAGGCTTCAATTTTAGGTTCTCTTCCTCTGCCAACCCTCATCCAAACACACATCTTGATTTAATATCTAGAAACACAATACAATGAAATAGTGTTATTCTGAAAATAAGAGATCTTTTATTACCTCCCATTATGAGTGAATTTACTTACTACATTGCTTCAAAATCACTAAATTTATTAAGATCACTTTGTCCATGATTTCTTTCAGCAAAGCAGATGAAAATAGATACAAAAACAACAAATTTGAAGATTATGAAAAGTGAAAAGTCCTTCATCAAATCAAAACACACATAAAATAATCAGCATTGACTTATAAGGCAGAGGGAAGACTGTTCATAACAAAAAATGCCATCCACAACAAAGAGTACCAGAGAGTATATGAAGAACATTACAATAGCCAATTTCTCACCCAAAATGATAAGCCATTAACCCACAACTCCAAAAAGAATGGAGTTAATTTTGATTCTCAAAAATGCCCTTACAATTTTTGGTTACATCTGTAAAGAAAATTAAGACTCCATCACAACTCAAAACAAGGAATCTTTCCCTTAGTAAAGCAGACACGTAAGTGATTGATGATTTAATTTGCCGTGGCAACAAATACTAATTTAAGCACCACTACCTCAACACCAGGAAAATGACAAATCTCAGCATTTAAAGGCAGACGTGACAAGAAGGCAAGACTATTTTAGGATGATTAAAACACCCACAAAATAAGAACACAGAAAAAAAAAAACATGGCAATACTGCTGCTGCACTAGGAAAAGGGATATACCATTCTTACAGGCACGCATGGCTCTAAAGAATATGTATAGATTATGGTCTTCTGTATTGCCTTTTTTTCCCTCCAGGAAAGACCCAGAACATCCACGAGAGTTGGAAGAAGTGCATTCAGGAAGGTGTCAATGCCTCCCTCCCCACCCCTTTAGTGGGGTAACTCGCTTTAACAATAATGCTCTTTCACTCCTCACATGCCACCCGGTTTCCACAGACCCTTCAATCAGCATTCCCGCCCACCCCCCTCCACTTCCCTGCTCTGCCCCTCACATTCAGAACTGGCTGCTCCGACTCAGTCTCGCCGCCCCCGCGCGCCCGCCCAGACCAGCAGAGTGCAACAACGCAGCCACGCAGCCACCCAGAAACCCACTGCCCCCACCTCCTCCTGGCCCGGCTGCCCCTCCCCCTCCCCGTCCTGTCACCTGCTTGGGTGGTGTCCGTCAGGTCGTAGCCGCTGCCCGGGAAGTCTCGGAGCTTCCTACCGCTGAGGCTCAGGATGCCGGAGTTGCCCGCCTCCTCCAGGGCCCGGTCCAGGCTCCTCACGGTGTGTTGAGGCTGCAGGCTCCCCGGGTTCCACTGCGGCCCGTTGGGGAACGGCTGACCGAAAAGAGTCGGTACCGGGATGGGCACCACCAGGGTCCCGCCGCCGCCGCCGCCTCCCGCTCCGGCTCCGCCACCTCCCCCTCCGGCCCCACCACCGCCACCGCTACTTCCACCTCCACCACAACCGCCGCCCCCACTGTTACCACCACCTCCCTGACTCGCCGCCATGTTCCTGGGAGAGAGAATAGCCCCCGACAATACTCTGAGCCTGTGCCGCGAGTGTAGGGGGTTCTTAGGACGCATGCGCAGGCTGGGGGCGGGAGGTGGGGGGTGCGAGGTAGAGGGTGGGAAGGAACCACGGGGCGGGCTGGGAGGAGGTGTTGGGTATTGAAGAGACGCTGTTCAAATGTGCAGAATGCTTGCTTTAAGAAATGTGCTATCAGAGGAAGGATGCTAAATCCCGGTTCCGCTGCTTTGGGTACCAAAATCTTGCGAAGCGACACCAGCTTAACTCTAGGTCGTCAGGGATATGACCCTAGATCTCTAAGTTGCTTCACCTTTTGAGATCTGCAAAACAAAAGTAAATATATTAGAGATGAAAGAGATTCGTTTCAGAATATTTTGAAGCGGCATTTAGAAGGACTATCAGCTACCTGATTGAAACGCTTACTGCGAATGCCTCAGGAATCCTTTAGCAGTGGTAACACAGAGAGAAACTTTGGGGAAGAATATGGGTGCAGAATTGTGCTTTAAGCCTACATGAATTTTGCCGTAATTTAGAATTCCAAAATAAGAAAAGCCTTTTTAAATGTTTTCAAGGAAGCCTCTCATTTCAGTGTGTGGGTCTCAGCCAAACTGCTGCCTTCCAAAACTTGGAAAAGTTCTCTACATTCTGTTCTGTAACTCTTTGAAGTGCTGCCAAGGTCTCCAAAATATCTCGAGTTTCTTCTCATCATGTCAGTATGGCTGATGGAAAACTCTGATCATCAAACAACCTTAAAGTTTTGTTTTGTTTTGTTTTTATACAGGCTTTAGTTTTAGGTAGAATTCTGAAGATTTAACTCTGTGGATCGGAAGCTAATCAATCTTGGATTTTAGGAGTTCATTCTTGGAACCTGAAGCCAACCATTCAGGTAGGTCACTGCCATCCCTCCACTCCCACTCAGAGTTGGTGGGAGAAATGGTGCAAGAAATCACATTTGCCACATGCATGACCCACAGAAGGAACAGTACTGAAAATCAGACCTCCACAATGAATTAGGAAGCAAAATCAAATTATTTATACTCACTGGTGTCAAAAAAGAACGTTCTACCTTATATCTCATCTTTCTTACATCGCAAATCAAATTAGGTATTAATTGAGAATTCCCAGAATCAAGAAGGGTGGAAAGGGAAACTAGATGCATTAGACAGAGATAAGATTATGAAAGGAACATTTAATAACTAGGCAATGAAAAAATTAGTGATTATTTAAAACAATGTGTTGGACTCCAAGAAAAGTATGTCCTCAGGATAGCTGTCGAGAGAAGGCATTGTACAACCAAATTTAAGAACAAAAGTAATCTTTCAAAGAATTTAAAAGATAGTCTAAGTAGAAAAAACAGAAAGCCTACAAGGTAGGCTAGATACATGAAAATCAGGCAAAATAACACATTCTGAAGCTCTTTGACAAAGAGTTTTGAACAAAATATGCAGTCTTTATTGAATAAAGCACTGGCCAACTACAAATACGATTTGTATTCAAGAGAACCAAGCAAATTGGTAGTTACTCAACATTTATAAATAATATAGAGAAGAAGAGGCAGAGCCCAAAGCTCCAAATTCTTCTATTAGAGATCAAGATTATTGGGATAGACTACAGGATGTTCTTATCAGCCTATAAATAAATCGAAAGTGAGATGTTTTATCTCTGGATCTAGAAGACAGTGAACTTGGGGGTGAACTAGACAGAACTATAATATGAATTTTTGTTAAAATCCTGATCAGGATGCAGGAAAAATCCAAGGGAGTCTCTGCAGCTTGTTTCCTGAAAACATCAGGATTTAACATCGGCTAAATACTAAACTCAGGGGAGAAGAACCAGTGAAATGTTGAGTATCATCAAGACATATCAGAGGGGCTTCCCTGGTGTCTCAGCAGTAAAGAATCTGCTTGCAATGCAGGAGACGTGGGTTCTATCCCTGGGTCAGGAAGATCGCCTGGAGGAGGGCATGGCAACCTACTCCAGTTAGGATTTTTAAAACATTTTTTAAAAGACATATATTAGAAACCCCGAAAATATTAATTTACATCATACTGAACTATTCCACAGCTGCTGCTGGAATGTGATGTGAAGTTCCGCTCACTCCACTCTCAGCCTAAGTCCTGAATTAAAGAAAGCTCTAAGAAGTACACCTAAAATAATTAGAGAAATGAGAGAAGGAGAAATTTACTTGGCCTTCATCTCTCTAGTAACCTGATCTTCAGTCCCTTCCAAAATCCGTGTTCTGGCATGGAGCCTTCAGAGGACTGAGTATACTTTAACTTATTTTAGCATAATCTATAGAACACTATATATGACATCCCTGATCCTCCTTCCCCTGACATCTTTTTTTTTCTTTTTCAGGCCTAGCCACGCAGCTTTCTGGATGGGATCTTAGTTCCCCCATCAGGGATCAAACCCTGGTTCCCTGGCAGTGAAAGCACTGAGTCCAAACTACTAGACCACCAGGTAATTCCCCCTTTGCGCTGCTTTAACCAATCCTAACAAATTCATTAATCCCAAAGTTAATATTTCTTAACTGAAAAGGGATTTGGAGAAATATAGAACAATTACTATTACTTAAAAGAGACTATTATATAACTAATCTTTAATGGTGATGTCAATAAGCACTATTATGTTCTTAGTTAGAATCCCTGCTATGATGCTTACAAGATGCAAGATAGACAAGTCATTTAAGCTCTCAAAGTCTCAGATTTCTTGTCTATAAACCAAGGATCATAAAATTATTAGCTATCTCAGAAGACTGTAGTGAGGATTACATGAGATATTTACACAAAGCACATATATTATAATGGTTGTTACCTTTTTTTATGTTTACTTTGCCTGTAGAACACTGAGCAAAGTGAATGATGAATTATCAGCACAGCAGTTCTTAAATTCCTCTGTACTACTGTGCTACCAGCATTAATAGACCTTTTCCTCTGTGTTGCTCTTGAAGTTACATCCTTACTGATTCACCCCAGGTTTCTGCCTCTCCTAACTTTTGTGTTTTCACTATATGATCCAGTAACTTGATTCCAATTCTTGCTTACTTTCTGTAATGCAATCCCAGGTTTTTGACCTCTGTGTTCCTAGTATGTTAAACTGATATCATGAAATCCATTTAAGTATCTGTTCCAAATCCTCCTTTAAAATATATCTTAAATGTTTTTGCTTTATGTAAACAACACAGGGGTTCTCAAGGCAAGAATACTGAAGTGGTTTGCCATTCCCTTCTCCAGTGAACGACATTTTGTCAGAACTCTCCACCATGACCTGTTTGTTTTGGGTGGCCCTACATGGCATGGCTCATAGTTTCATTGAGTTAGACAAGGCTGTGGTCCATGTAATCAGTTTGGTTAGTTTTCTGAGATTGTGAGTTTTCATTCTGTCTGCCCTCTGATAAATAAGGATAAGAGGCTTATGGAAGCTTCCTGATGGGAGAGACTGACTGTGGGGGAAACTAGGTCTTGTTTTGATGGGTGGGGCATTGCCCCATAAATCTTTATTCTAATTTTCTGTTGATGGGTGGGGCTGTGTTCCCTCCCTGTTATTTGACCTGAGGCCAAACTATGGTGGAGATAATGAAGAACTGATTCATTGGAAAAGACCCTGATGCTGGGAAAGATTGAAGGCAGGAGGAGAAGGGGACCACAGAGGATGAGATGGTTGGATGGCATCACAGACTCAATGGACATGATTTTGAGTAAGCTCTGGGAGTTGGTGATGGACAGGGAAGCCTGGCATGCCACAGTCCATGGGGTCACAGAGTCGGACATGACTGAGTGAACTGAAGCAACAAAAGTCTATTAAAAAATCTTGAAGAGTTTCTTATTAGTGTATAAAATATAGATTGCTGAAGTTTTTCTTAGTTTAGCTTGGCCAGAAGAAAGTAAATAAAATATCATATTAAATTACTCAGACTCTTATGTCCAATTAGAAAATATAAGGTTGAGAAATATTTTTTAGTCTTCTTTGGTATTACATCTGAAAGTCTCCTCTTTATAGGTAAACATAGAAACAAGCCATATGCCTTTTGGGCAATCTTGTATAATTATCTTCCTCTGCTGGCAGTATATGAGAGAAAATGATGAAATAGGGCCTTTTCAAGCAAAATCTAAATTCCTAAAAGGAAGACCTAAGCAACTGTCATGTTACCTCTAAGCAGGCTATACATGTGTAAGGGAAAAAATAAAAGATGTTAATGACATTTCAGTAAAGCCTGTTAAAAGAATTGGGCTTCCCAGGTGGCTCAGATGGTAAGGAAATCACCTGCCAATGCAAGAAGACTTGGGTTTGACCCCTAGTTCGGGAAGATACCCTGGAGAAGGAAATGGCAACTCATTGCAATATTCTTGCCTGGAGAACCCCAGAGACAGAGGAGGCTATGGTCCATGGGGTCGCAAAGAGTCAGACACAACTTAGCAACTGAAGAACAACAACATTAAAAGAATTACAATATCAAGATAGATTAAAACCCCAGGAGAAAACATACATCCCAAAAAGGTTTAGATTCTGTATTTACTTAAACAGAATGAAATAGAAATATTGGACCAAAATCCGTGTATAAAATAAAGGTTGGAATGAAATGATGAAGAATCAAGTTGGGCATCTACCAAAGTCTAATTATATTTGTTTACCCTAAATTTTGCTTCAAATCCTCATCACTATATATGGCAAAGTGTGTCTGTTAGAGGTTTATGGGGTTTTGTTTCTTTCTCTAAATCAAATAACATATGAAATAAATCTCTGTGGGACTGTGACTGAAGTAACTCCAGGCCTGGAGGCAGTGTGCCTTAATTATAAGTTGTTTTTTTTTTTAAATTTATGATGCAATTTCTCTAAAAGGCTGAATCTGTTAACCTGAAGCTCTCAAGTAATAACTGGGTCACACATGACCCTAAAATCCAGTGCTTCTCTCTATGTGGCAACAAGACTATTTCTTCTGAACCATGGTCACGATCATGACCCCAGTTAGCCTGTTGGT